TCAAAAGGGAACGAAATGAGCGCCTGGTCCCTATTAAGCGGCCACTCTGCAATAAGCGTCCTCCCTTGAACTGCCAAACATCAATTAGCGACACGGGCGCTAAATCGAATCATTAAGGTAACTATATTAATATTACAATTTTCTAAATGTATTCAAGAGTACAAACTATTGGAAACTGTGGCCGATCTGTTCCTTACGATTAAATCGTTCATTAGCGTATTAGAGGGAATATCATTTCACAAGATCACTTTTGACTGTTTGAAACCGACGACTTCCTAGGACTTTTTGCCTCAGAAATTATCGCAGTTGACATTTTACAAATCGACGGTTGCAATTTTATGGGAATGCCAAGACAGTTATTTTTATTCTCTGTTTACTACTGCTGCGGTCTAATCGCTATAGGAGCTGAGGGTGTATTGTGATGAATTAGACTCTTGCCGACTGTATAAGAGCGCACGAAAATTCTCTTAGATAGCGTAAAACATACGTTTTCAAGGAAGCACTAAACTAAGCGTTCTTAGTTTACGCATTGGGTGATTTTCACGTGGACTGTACCTAGAGCTTCTCCTTTGGAAATCTTCTTCTCTTTTCCTTTTCTTTTGAATGATTTAGGAAGAGTCAAAGTCGCGGAGAAGATAAACTTTTGCAGAGTTCTTTTCTTCACAGTTCCTGACGCCTCTTCATCATCGCTGTTAAGAAAAAGATAAATCGACATTGAGTAAATATCATCAAATAACTCGTTTCATTTAATCGAATTGCATTAGAGCGGTTTTCAATTGAATTGAGTGACGGAAAACCAAAACCAACATTATCACTGTAACCAATCACAAAGGACACAGACAATCCAATGAACCAATCAAAACTCGAAGTAAATAAATGTAGCTGATGCGAAGCGCGGGAAAACGTGTGTGCGCGCGAGTCACGATTGGTTTTGGTTTTACTTCTGATTGGATGAAAAAGTGACGGGAGTTTTTTAAGCCAATCATGTGTGTAGTAATGCAAACCAATTACTTCCGACACTCACATGAAAAGCGCTCAGTCATCAAACGTGTTCGATCATGTAAATATATCCTACTAAGTGACACCTAGCAGAAAGCTCTCCAGATACCTAGTAGTTCACCCGATAAATTACATGTGACAAGTAGATTGTATTTCTTACAAATTCATTGTCACCGAAAGTTGATGATCAGCATTATACATGTATTCAAGATAATACGACCATGAACCAGAAATCCATTTGTTTGACTACAATAAAATAATAAAACTTATAAAAGCTGGAGCACCATTTCGCACAAAGTGTAAATGTCAGTAATGGAAAGTCAAGGCTGCTTTTCTGCAACTTAAATTAAATTATTATTGTGACTGCGAGAGGTTGAAGTACGTGTACATGTACATTATTGCACAGGCTCTATTAAAACACATGTTTCACCTTGGCCTATGGATGAGATCCAAAATTGAGGACAGCTCTTGAAAATGTCCCTGTTCTACCATCCTGTCGGCCTCATCAATCACAAGGTACCTCAAGTCCTCCAACCGGCTCACATGCTCTTCACCCTAAAATCAAATGACATGTACATGTAAAGGTATGGTGGAAGAGTTGAAATCTTCTCCTGTGTACTACTGGTACTTAAGGCATGGCATTACAAATATCCATGTACCATGTGTTATGACTTTCATAGGGAAGGTAATATCATACTACAGGGGTTTCATTAAGGGTTGAGCACAAGGACAAGTTGACTGGTTGTGAGGCATCGATTTTGCCCACCTTGAAAATGACCATCAAGAGGAAAGTTCCTCTTATATTTATTGAGACTGTAGTTCCAAAAGTTTTGCCTGCCTGTGAAAACCAGTTACGCTACTGCTGTAATCGTTAATGAACCTCTAAAAATTATGTTATACATACATGTATACATTTACATACAGATTCAAAACATTTCAAAACTTAATGAGATCCTTTAGCCTGAAGGCATGACTCAGTTTCTTTTACAGCTCCATTTCGTCAGGCAATTTATAGTACTGTGGAACATGCACCTTTTTACAGCTGAGTCTTGACTAATACATGTAGACTTAATAACATCTGTATATCTTACTTGAAGTACATACTTACCTCTGAAATCAGGTCCCATAATCTTCCAGGAGTTGCCACAATTATTTCAGGACACTTTCGTAGTAGCCTCTGTTGTTTCTGAGGTGCCATTCCACCGACCACGGCTACAATCTTGGAAGCCAATAATACATGTAATTTTCAAATTATACATTTTTGATGTTACATATGTATGAATATTATTAGTAACAATTTATTTTTCTACTACATTTAATTTATCATGAGCTGGAAGTTGCTAAATTAGGAGTAATAAAGTTGGGACTGCCTTATATTTCCTTAAAGGCTCAGTCATGGCACTTTGAGTTATTTTGGCCACATACAAAATTACCTTTAAATGGTAGGAAACCTGAAAATAACAGTTTAATAAGATAGAAAAACACCAAAGAGATAATGATAAACCATAAAAGAACAAGGATGGCTAAGGATGGAGAGGATTAACGCGGATTACCAACAACAAATTTGAAAAATCGAGGCTAAACTTTTCAATATGCACAAACCGTGAGTGAGCTCCTTAAAACATTGTAGACCATAATGACGTTTCTTCTGTTCCTAATTCCCTTGCAGTAAGCTTTAGAGCCAAGTTCTTCTGGTTTCTACTGCATAAAGTGGATAGAAATATTGCAACTCCTTCCCTGGATGGATGCTAGTCCATCACAAGTTACTCCCAGTATTCTCTGAAGGTGTCTCTCAACAATGTGCTGGTACACATTAATTTACACCTGGTGGAGAGGGGCACTCTTTAGCATCTTGCCCAAGAATACAAATAATGACTGGGTCTGCTAGCTAAGACTCGTGCCTGGACCACTTGCTCCAGTCAGTCTAGTGCATTTAAGGCCACTGCACTTCCCACAGCATACAGTAGCAGAGAACTTCTTAACTTTCTTGTGTAATTCCAAACAAGAAATGTTGTACAGCACTGAAAGAAGTTAGACTCCAAAGCCTTTTGGAATTCTCTCTTTCAAATTGTCTAAAATTATGGCCCAGTTATACATGTGTATAGTGGCACTGGACAAGGTTTTTATGGACAGGAACCAAAAACACTGAATACATGACTATACACCTTAAAGTTTTAACATAATGTTTAATAATTATTTTCAAACCTGTACCTCTAAAGAGGTGTGCTTTGCAGCCTGTTGAAGGTGATTCCTTATTTGCAGGGCCAACTCCCTTGTTGGTGTCATAATCAAACCCAGCAGTGGTTTTCTAATCTCATCACTAGAAGCTGTACTGTTACCAGCCACAGGGGTGGATGTCTTTGCAATGTCTTTTCTTCCATTGTTACTTGTCCCTTCTGTTTCTTGGCTCGCCTTACGTTGCAGGATGTGGTGGAGAATCGGAAGGCCAAAAGCTAAGGTTTTTCCTGATCCCTGGTAAATGAACAGAATGTGTAGTAGAGTTGGAAGTGTCAGAAGTGTTTTCTCAGTAGCTTTTATTTGGGGTGTGTTTAAAACGTGAAGTGCTGATGTGACCAAATGGCACCACAAGTAAGAGTTAAGGTGGGATACGGGTGTCTGTAATGGTAGCCCTTACTATTATTAAGAGCTAACCACTGTCAAGTCAGTCAATTTCAGGCTACCTTGAGTGCTATTTAGGCTAATCATAGTGTCATTTTGCCATTTCGTGTTTTAAGCGCACCCCTTTATTTGTGGTCACTCGCCATTTCCACATCCCCCACAATACACCTTGTTTGCCCCCCAAAATTCTGCATAACCTTTGTTTCCCATTTATCTCCTGGGTATTACAGTTGTCCCAAGAGAAACTGAAGACAATGCTTATGCAAAATTTTGGGGGCAAACAANAGAGCTAACCACTGTCAAGTCAGTGAATTTCAGGCTACCTCGAGTGCTATTTAGGCTAATCGTAGTGTCATTTTGCCATTTCGTGTTTTAAGCGCACCCCCTTATTTGTGGTCACTCGCCATTTCCACATCCCCCACAACACACCTTGTTTGCCCCCCAAAATTCTGCATAACCTTTGTTTCCCATTTATCTCCTGGGTATTACAGTTGTCCCAAGAGAAACTGAAGACAATGCTTATGCAAAATTTTGGGGGCAAACAAGGTGTTTTATGGGGGATGTGGAAATGGTGAATAGGTTTATTATAGCCTGAAATGTCAGTTATGTCCCACCTCAGCCTTACCGTCCCCCTGCCCTGCCATCTCTCGCCCGGAAGTTAGGCTTAGGGTGGGAGATGACTGGCATTTGAAGCTATTGGACTAATGGATTTTTCTGGATCAGCTGGTGCTATGTGTAAACTTACTGTTTCTGCAGCCCCAATGATGTCTTGGTGATGAAATATTGCTGGTGGCAGGGATAGTGTCTGTATAGGTGTGGGGCTGGTGAATCCTTGATCACTAAGAGCTCTTTGTACTTCTGTTGGGACTCCAAGGACTTCCCAGGCACTTGTATCTGCCATAGTTTCTAAATTTCACAAAATCACTGCCAGGTTTCAAAATAATTTAAGACACCTAATATGCACAAAGCCTGTACTGAAGAGCTACAGTATTTTGACTATTAATATTGAAGTTTATGACTACAAATGTACAATGTCATTAGGTATTCGACATATAGATGAAGATGATTTTGTATAAGAGAATGATTTTAGGACATGCAGACAATGTCAGATGATGATTTTGCTGCAACTACATGTACACATGTAAGAGAATCCTTCACATTTTTCTTGTACTTTACTGTAATATTATTGTTATTTAAATCCACTGGACCAGCATCTACATATAGTTGTACAATAAATTATTGTAGACAAATGGTGACATCTTCTAAGTTCACTATTGTTGGTGTAAGGTCATTAAACCTCACACAGAAAATAACATACATGTATACATATTTTATTGGCTCGTCCCCACAGGGCTTTTCAGAGTCAATGTTTCATTACAAAATTTAAAAAAATGCAGAAAGCTAAACACATGACAATGATAATATAAAATGGAGACAAAGATTCTCAAGGACATGTACACTGTACCTTGAGAATCACCCAAAATTCCATCATCAACTGAAGTTTCTTCTTGCTGTCCTGGTTTGTCTTTATTTTCAGCTTTCTTTGTCTTCTTCTTCTTTTTCTTTTTCAGCTGAGAAGCCTTCTTTTTCTTTTCTTCTGATTTTGGCAAAGGTGTAGCATCAGATTTTTCCTGATCACCCTAAAGACAAAACACACAAAACAATGCTCTAAAATAGACACAAATATATATTTGTTATTGACCAAGTGTGAGATCAATTCAAGATGGTTGGATATTGGCCAAGTTTTTTTTTTTTTTTTTTTTTTTTGCATGTTTATGGACAGAGACGGAGTCGAGGTCCAGAAATGCGCAAAAAATGAAAGAGAACAATATCCAGCCACCTTGACCGAACAACCTTGGTCAATAATGGCTCTACTATATGGCTTTTGGGGAAATTTTTCTTGCGGGACAGGCAGGCAGTCCCGAGCGGGCAAGAGAGCCCCATCTCACCCGCGCGGTTAGGCAATGACAGCGCAGGATTTCGTTCATCTTGTCCGCTAAGTATATAATAGAAAAACGTCCATGTGGTGCGAAGTGATTACAATGCGTATAAATTTAATTCCGTCACTGCTACATACAAATCTCTAAATATACCTTCACTGATGGCCGACTTTTCGCCTTTTTCTTACGGCTTGGAACTTCAACATCAATCCCTCTAAGTTCTTCCAAGTTATAGTCCTCCATCACTTCAAGAGAGACAAATCCCTCCATGTCACTCGCAAAGAATGAGGGATCGTCCAGCACAACAGGCTGCCATTTTCGTTTATTGCCTTTCGATTTCTTCTCCGCCATAGCCATATTCTTCAGGAAATATCAAATATAAATCTCGGAGCTTTTTCACTACAACGAGCACGACGTTATTTCAACAGCATCAACAAGAAAACTGAAATCTTTGTGGCTTAGAGTCAACGTTGCATTTCGTCCGCCATGATGGATTGTTCATTCGGAGAGAGATTGGAACGACATTCGTGATTTCATGGATGCATCCGCTGAACAATCGTGGCTTCACACAGCCTTGCTTCAAATAAATTTGTTGAAATAAATCCCTAAATTTCAAGTCTGTAGTGACCGTGTGGGCTGAAATATTTCGTTGCATGCCCTGCAATGGCTCAGCATCGTACATACAGAGACGAGTGCTCTTTTATTGAACGCTTAGACGAGAATGCCTTTCTTATCAAGAAGGGCTTTGTTCCAAACATGAAGGTAAGTCAATTTTTAAGTTCTGTAAAGCTCGATCCAGGTGCCTTCAATTCCCAGCAAAACCATCAATTATAACAAGCACTGTATGAAGTGTAAGATATATACATGTGTTATGCCTACAGTGTGCTTCATGTGTTTTATATTCGTCCCAATTTTGTTTTGTGGAAGATTGAAGTGAAAATTTTAATTTATCAACTAGGAATGAGCTCGAGGCCCAAAAATTAAAATTCTTTGTTCGCTTCCCCCCTCCCCTCCCCTTACCTTCTTTCCCTCCCTCCCTTTCCATTATGGATTCTGTGGTCCAGCTGTGTTTGTCACTGCTTTTATTGTTTTGCAACAGAGCAGCGGCAATTTTTAGAACACTTCCTTGTGCTACAAATATTTAAAGATAAAAAGTGAACATACAACTGTAATAAAATAATGATAACATAAAAGTTGTTTGAGTGGTAACAGTTTTATAGTCTTGAAATGACAATTCAGCCTACACACCATATTTGTGTTCAAGTGTGAAGTTTCAGAATTATGTTACTAAAAATAACTTAACTGTAGTTAATTAACAGTTATATTCTATGCTTTAGGCTTAACATCATGGGGTAATGTGAAGCATGTAGGAAGTTTGGGGAACAGGAAAGAAAGTGTTAATAGTTGCTTGAGATGTAGCCAGGAGCAACTGTAGCTTCTTGAGTGCTCTCTAAACTTCCAAAGGGCATTATCACTTGATGATGCACAGTTAAGGTTACAGTATACCTTCAG